ACAATGCACCCCTCATTCTTCCAAGGTAGCAAGGGCTGTCCTATGAGACTCTCATTAGGAAATTGGACCTCTCCACCCAACATCTCTGACAGTGCTCTTTTAGACTTACTGTTCTCCAACCTCAAAGGATATTTAAAAAAATAAGATAGGAGTTCCTTGAGGATGCCAAAACTGATGTTTTGATTTGGTGTAAATTGAAGAGTGCAGAATTCTTTGGGGAAGAGCCTAGAAACATGAAAACATTGCTTTCAAAAGTATATACACATATCAGGACTGATTTGTGAGGGTTGGAAATGTAAAGGTAGACATTTTGTAGCAAAAGGAGGGGAGTGATTGACTGCAGTCCAGGAGCGGAGGTCCCTGGGACCATCAAGGAAGAAGAGCGGAGAGCGGGACCCTACCTAGAGAAGCAGTGGTGGCAGAGATGATGACGTGGAGAGATGGAGCAGCTGGGGACTTTAGACCCAGAGAGGGAAAGGGTCTGTGTGCTGATTACTGGGGGGCAGGCTTGCCAGGTATACCCTGTGATTGGTTGATGATGCATGAGGGGATTGCAATCATGGCAATGAAATGATACACGATAGGATGAATGTAAAACTAATAGTCTCCTATGTAAACTATCACATAATTCACAATAAAACATTTTTAAAAAGTGTATACTTGGAGGATAGGAAGATATGTTGAGAATAGCTTCACATTTTGTTAATTTTGTTTAATGATAACACTTTCGTAGCAACATTTTTAAGCTCTGGTAGCGTAGTGGTTAAGGAGCTCTGGTAGTGTAGTGGTTATGAATCGGGCTGCGAACCAGGTCAGCAGTTCGAAACTACCAGCTGTTCCACGGGAGAAAGATGAGGCGTTCTGCTCCCGTAAAGACTTACAGTCTCAGAAACCCTGTACAGGGTTGCTATGAGTCAGAACCGACTCAACAGCACACAGCCACCACCACCAGCGTAGTGGTTACGTATCGGGCTGCTAACCTCAGGGTCAGCAGTTTGAAACTACCAGCTGTTCTGTGTAAGAAAGATGAGGCTTTCTGCTCCTGTAAAGATTTACAACCTCGGAAACCCTGCACAGGGTTGCTATGAGTCGGAACCGACTGCACTGCACATAACCACCACCAATGTAGTCAGAAAGCAACGTGGACTTGGCTTCCCCTGGACTTGACCTTTTAGGACCACTCCTCACAGGCAAATGTGTCATTCAGAACCAGTGAGGAAAAGATGTATTCTTTAGTAAGCAGTGTGAGAACAACGGTTGAACCATCAGAAATAGTAAAGTTGACTCTATACCTCACACCATAACCTAAGGCATGTATTTGAAAATGGATAAAGATGTAAATGTTTAAAATCTACGTAGGTCATCTTCTGATCTGTAAAAATGGGTGTGCTCCTTGCTAGGGATACCATAACAAAAGATCACAAATCAGGTGGCTTATTAGAACATTGAGAAGTATGAGTATTCCAGAACACTTAATTGTACTTCTGAGAAATCTGTAGCTGGACCAAGAGGCAGTTGTTCGAACAGAGCATGGGAACACTGAATGTTTTAAAATTGGGAAAGGTGTGCGACAGGGTTGTGTTCTTTCACCATACTTGTTCAATATGTATGCTGAATAAATAATATGAGAAGCTGAGTTCTATGAAGGAAAACGTGGTGTCATGATTGAAGGAAGACTTATTAATAACCTGAGATATGCAGATGATACAACCTTGCTTGCTGAAAGTGAAGAGGACTTGAAACATTTACTGATGAAGATCAAAGAGCACAGCCTTCCGTATGGATTACAACTCAATGTCAGGAAAACAAAAATCCTCACCACTGGACCAATAAACAGCATTCGTATCAATGGAGAAGAAATTGAAGTTGTCAAGGACGTCATTCTTCTTGGATCAACTATCAACACTCGCGGAAGCAGCAGTCAAGAGATCAGACGACGTATTGCATTGGGCAAATCGGCTGCACAGGAACTTTTTAAAGTATTGAAGAGCAGAGATGTCAGCTTGAGGACTAAGGTGCGCCTGACCCAAGCCATGGTATTTTCAGTAACCTCATATGGATGCGAAAGCTGGACAGTGTGAATAAGGAAGATCATAGAAGAATTGATGCCTTTGAGTTGTCGTGTTGGAGGAGAATACTGAAAGTGCCATGGACTGCCAAAAGAACCAATAGATCTGTTTTGGAAGAAGTGCAACCAGAGTGCTCCTTGGAGGCAAAGATGGCTAGGCTTCGTCTCTCATACTTTGGACACATTGTCCGGAGAGAACAGTCACTGGAGAAGGATGTCATGCTGGGTAAGATGGAGGGTCAGAGAAAAAGAAGACCCCCAACGAGATGGATCAGCCAGGTGGCATCATTGATGGCATCAAGTGTGGCGGCGGTAGTGAGGTTGGCCCAGGATCGGACATTGTTTCGTTCTGCTGTGCATGGGGTCACTATGAGTCGGTTCTGACTCGATGATGGCACCTGACAACAACAACATTAGAACATAAATGTATTTCCTCACAGTATTGGAGACTAGTGTCTTAACTCAGGGTGTCAGGAGGACCACGATCTGTCTGAAGGCTCTGGGGACAAGATTCTTTCTAAGCTCTGCTAGCTTCTGGTAGCCCCAAGAGTACCTTGGCTTGCAACTGTAGCATAACTGGGCACCTGCCCCTCTTTCCTTCCTCTGTGTCTCTTTTCCTCTTTTCATAAAGACACCAATCATATTGATCAGAATACACCCTACTTTTAGTATGACCTTATGTTAATAATATCTTCAGAGATCCTATTTATAAACAAGGTCACATTCACAAGTTAGGACAATAACATATCCATACACTAGGGTATTATATATTTCATAAGGTTATAAGGATCAAGAGAGAAACCAGCATGCAGGTCCTCATAATGGATGTTTGCTGAAGTGACCTGAACAAAACTGGGTGGAATCCAGGAAGCTGGAGGTCCTGGGGTGGGGTGGGGGTGAATGGCGAGTGGAGGATATTATTGTTAGGTGCCGTTGAGTCATAGCGACTCCATGTACAACAGAAGTAAGGAAGCACCTTCTGGTCCTGCACCAGCCTCACAAACATTACACTTGAGCCCATTGCTCCTGCCATTGTGCCAATTCATCTTGTTGGGGTTCTTTCTCTTTTTTACTGACTCTCTACCTAGCATGATGTCTTTCTCCAGGGACTGGTCCCTTCTGATAATACTATGTTTCAAGTATGAGAGATAATACTATGTTTCAAGTATGAGTTGGCCATCCTGGCCTCCAGGGAGCACTCTAACTGCACTTCTTCCAACACAGATTTGTTTTTTCTTCTGGAGGTGCATGGTACTTTTTCTCTTCTCTAAGACCATAATTCAAATGCATCAATTCTTGTATGGTCTTCCTTATTCATTGTCCAACTTTCACATGCAAATAAAGTGATTGAAAATGGCTTGGCTTAGGCCTACCTTAGTCCTCAAACTGACATCTTTGCTCTTTGTGAAGGCCTTGTGCAGCAGATTTGCTGCAGGATTGTGAAAAGGAAAGACATTTTAGGAAGAAGGAGCAACACATAGCAAGGCTACAGATTCAGAAAAGCTTGAGGAATTCAGGAATGTGACTTTCGGCTTTGAGGACCATCGAAGAAATTTTGAATGTTTAAAAGTAAAAATAAAAGAGCCATCCTTTGTTGAGGGCCTGCTTTTACATTATTTTACTTAATCCATCAAAACTACTCCAGCCAGGTTAGAAGAGTTAGTCAATTCAATAGTACACAAGGGGAACTGTCTGGAGCAATGGAAGGGGTGAAGCATTGGGAGATGATCTGGTCAGTCCTAGGTGTGGGGCTGTGGATCAATACGCTGGACTGCAAAGTCAGTTTGAACCACAAGGGTGGCAGTCCAAGCTCACCAGCCATTCCTCGGAAACCCTATCCAGGGTCGCAATAGGTCACACTTCAAGGTACTTAACAAGGTTCTAGAACCTTACAAGGTCAGTGGTTCAAGTTCACCAGCTGCTCCTCAGAAACTCTATACGGGGTCACTATGAGTCGGAACCAACTCTAGGGCACTTAACAACAGGTTCTAGAAAGAACCCTCAGACTCTGTGGTGAAGGGACAGGAGGTGCTCAAGCCACTTACCTTGAGTTCCATACATTAAAAAGAATTGTAATCGTTATCATTTTGTCTTTTACCATGCAATTTATACTCCTTCTAGAGGAGAAAAATACAAAAAAGTTTAGAGAAATGTAAGGAAATTGTTAGTTCCCCCTCCCAGAGATTTCCCAATTAAAATTTTTCTGCCAGTCTTTCTGACTTTGTTTTTCTTTTATTAAAAAAAATTAGTAGGGAAAAGCCATCGTTGAGCGTCTTTTTTTTAGGTCTCTATATTTCTTTTTTTTTCTTAAATGTTTTATTGTGAATTATGTGATAGTTTACATGGAAGAACATTAGTTTTACAATTCATTCTATTGTATGTAACTCATTGCCATGGTTACAATCCCCTCCATGCAATCCTTCCCCGGTACCCCCCAGATCTTCAGCACCCAGTCGCTCTCGCTATCCCTCTCTGGATCTAAAGTCTCCAGCTGCTCCATCGCTCCACGTCATCATCTCTGGCTCCATTTCAGGCATCACTACTTCTCTGGGTACGGTCCCGCTCTCTGCTCTTCTCCCTTGATGGTCCTAGGGACCTCAGCTCCTAGACTGAAAAGTTAATCACTCCCCTCCTTGCTATAAAACGTCTACCTTTACATTTCCAACCCGTTGAGCGTCTTTTGTACTCTTTTTTGTTTTTGGCCTGCCTTTTCTTAGGGTCCAACAAAGATAACGTATTGGGGAAAATCTTAGTTATTGGGGAACCACACTGACGTTAGTGAAGAGCCTGCGTCGAGTTTGCGTGGAGACCTCCCCTCCCACCCCACTAACCCGGACAGGCGTGTCCCGAAGGGGCGGGGCGGCAAAACCGAGCCTGGAGGGAAAGAAGGCGGCGCTTAAAACAACCAAAAAAAAGAAAAAAGAAAAAAATACGCCTATGAACTTTGGGCACTGCCGCCGCCCGTAGTAGGCGTCTCCAACATGGCGGCTCCCCAAGATGTCCACGTCCGGATCTGTAACCAAGAGATTGTCAAATTTGATCTGGAGGTGAAGGCGCTAATCCAGGTACGAATTCCCAGAGCCCTCTGAATTCCAGCCGCCCTAACCTAAGCTCCGTTGGCCTCCTGGGCGCTCGGCGGTCTCACTCTCGAACTTTCCCCACCTGACCAGTTCTTTGGCTGTTGGCCCCATCCCATGGCCCACTAGCCCTAGTGTCGTCCCCATTTGATCCAGTCCCCGTGACTATCGCACTGGCTCTTCCATCCGGGTACTGCTGGCTCTCCCACTTCCGGGACACTCTGGTGTCACCCTGCCTCCCCCTTTCGGTCTCCTCTTGGTCTCTCACATCCCCATCTGGCCATTGCCTCGCCTCTGACCACCTCACAGCAGACCTGTCACCCGTTTTCCCCCGCCCAGTGACTCCTTGCCCACACCTGTGACTCTCCCCTTCCTACTAGCACCTGGGAGCGTCCCGGAGATCCTTAGGTCTGCCCACTGCCGGCCTGCCGGGCTGGGTATGATGCTCCTTGGCACTAGCACCATTGCCTGAACCGTGAGGACAAGAGTGAGGACAAGAGTAAAGCGCAAAGGTCTGGATCCAACGACAGGTAGTGGCAAAATTGATAACACTACCGGGGAAATCCACCTACAGAAAGAAGCTTAGCGAGCCCCTCTGTTTAACATACAAGGGAAAGTGAGGTGCGTTGTTTTAACTCTTAATCAGGGCTCTTACAGTGTTATTTTAAGGGTAGAGGTCTTTAGTACAACAAATCAGTTGGCAAAGTCGAGAGTTATGAATGTAATTCCATAAATTTAGCAAAAGGGAACCCAGAGATTTAATTTTAAACCTTTAGTTTTTAAATTTTTATAATTTATGTTTGCTGTTTTTGAGGATATACAAAGCAGAACATGAGCCATTTCAACAGTTCCCATATGTACACTCCAATGACATTGATTGCATTCTTCTAGCTGTGCGACAATTCTCACCCTTCTTTTCCAAACTGTTCCTCCCCCATTAACAAGCTCACTGCCCCCTAAGTTTTCCTATCTAATCTTTTTGAGTTGCTGTGGGTTAGCTGTTGGATTGCTAACTGAAAGGTTGACTGTTCAAACCCACTAAGTGCTCTGTGTGTTAAAGATGAGGCTGTTTGCTCCCATAGATTTATAGTCATGGAAACCACATATCGGAAAACTATAAGTAGGAATTGACTTTATGACAGTGGTTTTGGTTGTCACTTTGATCCCATATAAATAGATGCTAAAAGAGTGTAATGTTCAAGGCGACAGTCTTTACTAGTCAAGCTGAACTGTTTGTTGTTTGGTTTTAATAAGACTTCCGGGGATATTTTTGGTTTAAGATTTAAAGACCATCTCAGGACCATAGTTTTAGGGTTGCATCCAGCTTTCATGGCTCAAAAAGCCTGGATTTTATAAGAGTTTGAAGTTCTGTTGTGTATTGTCTCTTTTGATCAGATATCTTCTATAGATGGTTTCATCAGTGTTTACTAGTGGTAGCCAGGCACCATCTAGTTCTGGTATCACTGGCTCTTAGAAGCAAATTATTTTTATGTCCAACAGGCAGACACTGAGTGGAAGACATAGACTCAGAGGTTGCAACAGGTTATAGCAAAAAGTGAAGGAGAGTAGGACTTCTCGGGTAGAGCAGATGCAGAATAAACCAAATTAATGGTTTATCGTATGGTACAAAGATGTGTGATTTCATGAGTAAGCCATAGTACAAATGAGGAAATTTGAGGCAAACACTGAACTTCACTTTTCCTGTGTAAGAGCCACAAAACTTCTGCCACACACAGAACAAAACAGTGCCTGGTCCTGGACCATCCTTGCCATTGTTACGTTTGAGCCCATTGTTGCAGGCAGTGTCAGTCCATCTCATTGGGAGTCTTCCTCTCTTTTGCTGATCACCTACTTTACTAAGCATGATGCTCTTCTCCAGGGACTGGTCCCTCTTGATAACATGTCCTAAGTACGTGAGATGAAGTCTCACCAACTGCACTTCTATGGAGCATTCTGGCCATACTTCTTCTAAGAAAGCTTTGTTCATTCTTCTGACAGTCTGTAGTATGTTCAGTATTTTTTGCCAACACCTTAATTCATAGGCTTGAATTTTTCTTTGGTCTTCCTTATTCTTTGTCCAGCTTTCACATGCATATTGTTGTTGCAGTTGTTGTTGTTAAGAACTGTTAAGTAGGTTTCAACTTATAGCGACCTTGTATAGTATTTCTGAGGCTTTAAATCTTTGAGGGAGCAGAAAGCTTCATCTTTTTCCCGCGGAGCTGCTGGTGGGCTCAAATCACGAATTTTGTGGTTCACAGTCCATTATTTATCTTATGGAGCCACCGTGTTCCCCACATGCATATTGTTGGTGTTATTGTTAGGTGCCATTGAGTCAGTACCGACTCATACTAACCTTATGCACAGCAGAACGAAACACTGCCCGATCCTGTGCCA